GAATAAAGTGTGTCCTACTCCCAGTCGGCTTCCCATATCCAGGTAGAGGACCATCTTGAACTTCTCATGAGTACATGGATCCTCCCACTCAGCCAGATCACTCTGAAGCACTGCCCACTTCTTCGGAACTTCGTCAGCTGAACCCACCGGTCGTGGTGGACAGTGCTTCTGACTCTCATCACACGCTGAACAACGCATCTGCCTGACATGGTCGACGATCCGCTTGTCCGCTCCCTTAGCTGCCAAAGACTTCGCCACCTGGGCGAACGGACAATGACCACACGCTGCATGGATACGTCGAGCTGAAATCTCCACCTTCCTGAGCGTTCTAGCGTCGATCTCGGCGTCAGACTTCGAGACTGCGTAGCCCAGCTCCAGGTCGTTCTCACCCTCCTGCTCTTCGATGTGCCGTTTGATCTCCATGTAGCCCGGCTCGTGTAACATCGCTCTGACTGCTCTCCGGACGAACTCGTCGGGGTAGTAGGCCGTGGCCGCGGTCCTGGCTCCACCTACGCACGGAGAATGAGAATGGCGTCCATCGCACCGCACCGCCAGACGTTGACGGAGGACACTGGACGTCGACCAAATCTCCCACGGCTTCTGCATCGGCAAACCCGTGTCTATGGCCTTGACCCCGAGCATGCAACCATCATACACTGTGGGCTGCATTTCAGCGTCTCTGAAAACTTGACGGAGTTCTGACCAACGATAAGGCGAGAGGTCCTTCGGCCACTCCCAGTGTACATGTCCTTGATCTGCCACCTGATCCATGACGAGCGTCAGGCAGTTCCTGATCAACCTCTTGGACTTCTTACGGCTCTGCAGAACCTGAGCCCAGACTTCTGGTTTGTGAATGTTGAAATTCTGATTGCCACTCCATGGTCCACAAGGAAGCGAGAACCACAGGTGACAGGGTCGCACTCGGTGACGTTCAGCACGCGCTTTCTGTAAACCCGCAGCGGTCGACAGGTCGAAACCGTTCCAACCACTAATTCGTAATGCACTGCCCGCTCCTGACTCCTGCTCCATGAAGGTGGTTAGGCCCGATGCTGGTGAGCAGCAGACCTCCATTAGCTTGACCTTCGCAGTGTCCGTCAGGAGCGACCACGCCGGCGTAACGCTCTTGTCCAGGTGCCCCGCCAGCCAGGTCGCCTGGGAGCTCGTGAGTTCTTTCAGGGGCCCTTGCCGGCCCGCCCAGACGGGGCGGCCGTCGACGACCCCTCCTCGACCTTCTGCACTCTCGAGGTCAGCGCGTGCATCTGGTTCTTCATGTCCCCCAGCAGGTCGATGATCTGATCCTCCCTGGTCTTGACGTCCTCAATCCTGACCTGCTCCTCGCGGCACGACCTCTTCATCGTCGGACGGTTCGGGATCCTCTGTGCGCTCTCCTCCTTGACATCCTTGACCACGAACCATGGGCTCTCCGACTTCTCGTACTTCACCTCCGGCTGCGGAAGCTCGAACTCCTTGTTCATCATGTCCTCGGCCTTCACACCCTTGGAGACCAACCAATCGGTCAGCTTCTTGAACCTCGGGTCTCTCATGCTCACCAACCAGCCCGCATATTCGCGCTCCTTCTCGAACAGGTGGAGGTACGTCTTGCCGCGGTGCCTGCCGAACGGGATGACCTCGGAGGGACTGACCTGGACACCGAGCTCCTTGTACCTCTCGACGATCAGGATCTGCAGGTCCCCTTTGGTCTCCTTGCCTGTGAGTACGCATCCGACATCCTCCGCGTCCTTCACCAACTCCGCCTTTTTCTTGTGCATGGACGTCGGCCTCATCTCGACGGGCATCGCCCTGTGGATCTGCCGCAGCCTGGCACGGAGCATCTCCACCGTCATGTGGCGGCAGTCCTCGTCCCACTGGCATAGCTCCGTCTGAAGCTCGGCCTTGCGCATCGTCGAGGTGTGAGGGTGACCGTGCATCTCGAGAGACGCTCCCTGGCGGGACAGTCCCCTGTGAAACTGAAAGACTTTGATCCACAGTATGCGTACGGGCCATCTGTGAGGACCACGTGGGGCTCAGCTGGGTATCTTCGTACAACTCAAACCTCTCAGCTCTGTAATTCGGTTCTGTTTCAAAGTCCGTTCTGAAACTCGTATTGGTTTTATCGTTATCGGTGTCCCTAGACTCCGCTAGCTGCTCGACTGATTCCGAGCCTCCCCCTGACGCCCGAGTAGTAACCCTAGACGTACCCGAAGATGCCCTCGGGGTCTCTGGAGATCTCGTCTGGCTTCCCGTAGGTCTTATCTGGGTTCCGGTGGACGCTCTCTGGGGTCCTAGACACGTTTTCTGAGAACACGACGGTAGCCCCGACGACGTAGGACAGGCCCCACTAGACCTCGAACCAATCCTCGAGGTCCCGAGAGTTGCCCGTCTCGAACAGGAGGTGGCAGACCGGGATCCCGCAGAGCTCCTCGAGGTTCCACTCGGAGCCCATTTTGGAGCCTGGACCTCACCTGGCCTGCTATTCGACGACGTCATCGCCATCAGTGCCGTCTCTGCCATACCGTCACTGTCGGTCGCCACGACGTGATGAGCTGATGGAGGAGGTGGAGGAGGGATGTATGGCGCAACCTCTGGCGGCTCCTCGACAGTGTCTCCAAGCGCTGGTAGCGGCGCCTGGCTCGAAAGCGAAGCCACGCCACGGCTCAAGATGCAATCGCCCGGCCTGTCGGAGACCCCGACGTCGCCCAGGAGATCGCACGTCAAGTCGATCAGGAGGTGGCCAGTCCTGGACCTCTGAAAAGAGATCATCTTGTGCGGGTCGATGCTCTTGAAGACGCCGATGCCAGCCTCGAAGTCGATCACGGCTCCGAGCTGCCTCAGCGTCTCGATGGACACCAAACTGGGAATCCCAGGAGCGTCGACCGCATGAACCAGGAAAGACACGTACACGCCCTTGACCTGCAGCTTGAACTTGACCCGGCAGAGGACCCGCTTCACCTCGCCGTTCCCGAACTTGTACACTGGGCGGTCCGTCAGGTCTACCTCCATCGGCGGATGACCTCTGGCGATGAGCAGCTCATTCAGGGCCTCCACCGCCTCGATACCGCCGATGGTCTTCGTAGCTCCGGAGTCCATGATTCCGTGGCCAATCTCCGTTGTCCTCGACACGATGTAGGCCATCTTGATCTCCGGGTCGTCTAAGTCCACACTGTTGTTCAGGTCAACGTGATCTCCGTCGATGATCTCCGCCGTCAGGACCAGTCCATTGAACTTCTCCCCCTGCTGTGGCGGTCCTTTGGAACCAGGTGCACGTCCAGCTAGCTTTGGGTCTCCACGGTCCGGACAGGCACCCGTACGATGAGCTCCTCCGCACTTCAGGCAGGGTCCCTGACGACCATCGCTTCGAGAGCCGCTGTTGTTGTTGAAGAAACGCCGTCCTGTCCTGTGCTTGTTGATCTGCTGGCGGGCTTCTTGAAGTCTGCGCTGGCTGGCCTGGAACTGGGCAAAAGCTTCTTCTTCCTCGTCGATGGCGTTAGCGAAAGCCGAATCGTCACCTTCATCCCCGTCTTCCTCCTGTTCAGCTTCCGCCACCGATGTCACCAGCGCGTGATCACGTTCCTCCTCTCCGTTCCAAGTCTGGGCGTCCTCGCCGTAGAACGCCGCCGCCGCCACTTGCTGACGGATGAACTTCGACTTCCTATAGTCCCGGTCCTTCAGGTTCTCGTCGCTGGGCCATTGGGTACGCAAAGCGCTCTCCACGCTGTCTACGGTGAAGTCGCCCCTGCACGATCCGATGACCGCCGCGATCTCCCCGCCGTCCAGGCCAGCTCGGTGGAGTAGATACCAGCCCCTGACGATGCTCGGGAGGACCTCCGGTAGGTCATGCGTCGGGAACGTGCCCTGGCTCTCGCGGTCGAAGCCGCGCTGCTGCCAGTGGCCGCCGTTCCAGCCGCCTGGCCACCAACGCTGGTGGCGCCACCAGTCTTGTCCGTCAGCTCCTCCCTCGACCTCCCAGTCTCGGACTTCGTCAGGCTCAGCATCTGCAACGGTGCCCTCTTCACCGCCACCTATCCGATGCCACGAACCCGACCCCGCGTCCACTGGCCACTTGTCGAAGGAAGTCGCTGTCGTCGCTGGTGTCTTCACGATCTCCGTCTTGCCGATCATCCGGGCGAGCGCCACCCGCAGGCGTTGGTAGCTCTCGTGTACCCGCAAGCAGTACTCGGCCATACCCTCGCCGCGCCGTCGGCGAAGTTTCACGAAGTACTCCTCCATGTAGTGACCGACGTCCTCGACGGGCTGCCTCATGACCGTCTGCTGCAGGTACTCCAGCAGCTTGTCTGCACCCCACATGGACGAAAGCCAGCCTCTCGGCCGACCTATGCACGCCGTCGCCGCAGGTCCGGACAGGCGTGCCACCAACCTGGGGCCGCACAAGTACCTGTCCTCCCACTTTGTGCCGTCCACGTAGTTCATCACATTTTGTTGGTACCGCTCCCATGTCGCAGCGCTACCATTCCACGTAGGAATACTCTGATTAGCATTCTCCATGGAGCAGAAACCTGCTCCGCTACCATGTGAAGCGAAGCTTCACAGGGTCAAAGACACCTCGTCCCTCGAGCTGTTCTCCAAGCAGCTCTGCTCGATCTTTCTTTCCTGCAGCGCCGCCTGCACCGCACAGTACTCGTCACCAGCACGATATCTGCACACGGAGTGTGGAGAGAGGGAGAGATGTATGGTATTGGGCTCGATTGAATAGAAGATAGGAGAAAGACGGGGGCCTCTGAAGGCCCCGGGGCCCCTCTGGCCCCGCGATGAAGGCCTGCAGCCAAATGGCTATGGATTGAGCGAACATACGTTCCAAGATCGAAGGATCGACAGAAGGGGAGGGGGAGGAGGAGGAAGAGGAGGAGGAGGAGGAGGAGGAGGAGGAGGAGGAGGAGGAGGAGGAGGAGGAGGAGGAGGAGGTGGTCCCTGTAGTTTGTCCCTTGCTTCCCACTCCCGTCGCTTTCCCAATCTCCGCTCGTCCCCTCCGTCGGCGGGCTGAG